TATATTATATTATATTATATTATATTATATTATATTATATTATATTAATGAGGCAAGATCTCACTAGCAACCTTGAATAGCCTGGAACTCACTATGTAGACCAGGTTGGCCCAGAACTCATAAAGATCCCTGTGCCTTTGCCTCTTGAGTTTTAGGGTGAAAGGCATGCACCAACAATACTTGATCAAAATGGACATTAAACATGCAATTGGCTTGACTTTGTAAGGACATAAGGGTGTGGAGTAAAGGTGACCTGACTTTTCAGTGTAAGCAGCACTGACATGTAAACAGAGACTTGTCATATGCTTTGTCAAAGGTTCTCTTTGCTCTGATTTTTGCTTTATAATTAAACATAACCCTCATTTCACCATCTTCAGATGAACAAAAAGACAATCATCAGGCCACCCCTCGTCTCCAACATTAGAGTCCACAGTGCTTTTGTCCTCTATCTTTAGCAACAGAGCTGAGCTATTTGGGGAGATGCACAGTGCCATGTGTGTTTCTAATAACCATCTTGCTTTAGCTTTCTGAAATAAAGTGTTTTGTTTTGTGAGAATTAGCCAGTTTGTCCCCTCTGAGAGGGCAGGAAACAACTGGAGACATTAAGAATTATTTCCTATAGACTTTCAGTCCACTTGAGCAAATGACGCTGGAAGGCTGGAGGTTGTAAAAATTGGGCAGCACAAAAGGATGACCTAATTTAGTCATTACACATTCCCCAATATGTCAGTGAAACAAAAAACAGAATATTATGTCAGCTTTAATTAAAAGGAAAAATATCTCTACAACTTGCTCTGCGAATAAACATGCTTTGAAAGCATTCTTCCTGAAAATGATCCATATTTTTGACCAACGTCTCAGCTGAGGGACTCTCAGCCACAGGGTACTTACTGGCTTTACATGCATCATCATAAGGCTTTTGGGATATTTAAATAGAGTGAAAGATGAAGCCTCCATAAGTGTTAGTCAACACAGTTTAAGTTCCTGTGTTCTTCCTTCTGCTTTCTATTCATAAACTTACTGATTTTAAAAACATACCTTCCTAGAAAACAAGAAAGCTTCATTCAAATGGCTAGCAATGTAGATATCAAATATATGCTTTAGCTCTCTATGATATTCAGATAAGAGGCACTGATTTATATAAATTTGTTGTTTTGTCTTATTAATTAAAAGAGGAAACATAGAAAGAAATGATTTGTCAGCTCCTTACTCCATCTGCAAAATGTTCTTATATCATGGCACAATGTTCAAAGTGTGATCACGCAAATCAAGCCACAGAGCCCTGTATCCACGCTCACCTCTTTCTCTCCAGCCCAGGATCTCTGAGAATAAACGCAGAGGTGGAAAGAAGTTTTACGCTGTAAAATTTCAATGCTACCACACTTAAATAAGTCCTTTAACAGATGGGGAATCTCCCCATGGTTCATTTACCTCTTGTGTTTGTATACTACCATTGTGATGAAGTTACTGAAACAATCAACTTAGAGAAAAAGAAAGATTAGTTTTGATCTTCAGTTTTGTAGATTTCAATCCAAAACTAATTGGCCTCATCATTCAGATATGATGAAGCAATGCCTTATGTTGAAAGCACACAGCAGAGGAAGCTGCTTACCTCATGGGAGCAAGGAATCAAAAGGGGGGAGCATGAGAGAGTGTTGGCAAAAGCGAGGGCAAGAGCAAGTGAGGATAATAGCTAGGACCAGGAAGAAGGGTGTCAGTATTCTTTTCAGGTATACATTCCCAATGACCTAACTTTCTTCCTCTAGGCCCTACATATTAAATGTTCCACCACGTCCCAGTTTTGGCAAGCTGAAGGCCAAATCCTGAACACACAGGCCTTTGGGGGCAATCCGACACAAACTGAAGCACCCTTACACCCTTCTAATGATAAGCTGTGTGTAGTAACAAATGGAAAGCTTGCTACCTCTGCCCCATGTGCCAAAACTGTGGTAGGCCCTCAGAAAAGTATTACTGATATGAACAGCTCAGCACTGCCTTTGTCTGTGGCTGACCATGGAAATTAGAGTCTTTCTGAGGCAGTGAGGACACCCCATCACCTCACAATTAAATCCATAGTCAATCAAAGGCAAGTTCACTTTCATGTTTTGTAGTTTTACTCCATGCCTCACTTCTTATTTTAAGAGTATGTTCCAAGAAATACCACGGAAACTTCATGGATTTAGCACCCAAAATTGAAGAGAGAGAGAAAAAATACTCTCCATAGTATTCATCTGCAGTAACTATGCAATGCTCTGGAAATATTGGAGGCTGATAATAAATGTTTAAGGATTTCTGGTTTTGTTTCTTTGTTTGTTTGGACACACAGATTTACTTCTTGCAGAGCCAGCTAGCAAATATTCTATTCACCTTTGTGATTCCTTATGGCATGAAAGAAGCTACTGATAATGAAATCATCAATAGCCAAGCATATGCTCAAATAAAACTTTATCATAGACCCTGAAATTTCAGTATCATAATTTTCATTTCACAGTTTTTTTCATCTCAAAACCTTTCAATCATTTAAGGGGGGAGGGGAGCTTAGCCTAAATTCAATGCAAAAACAAACAGTAAGCTGGTTTTGGTCCATAGGATTGTGAAGGACTGAGAATTCCTGAAAAGAAACTATCTACACAGGCTGATTAACTGATTAAGCTTCAAGGACTATGGGGAGGTTGGAATGTTCCAGATCCATAGCCTAATGAATTTTCTCTCAGCTGTCTTTATCCCCCTAAAAAGCCATTGTTCACCTCTCTATCAGACCTAAGTAGATGAACACCTTTGGGATGTATTAACTTCAGGAAAACCTATTTTTCTCCAACCAGAGCTAAGGATGTTATCGGATATCATCTAAGGTCCTTGATTGAGCTTCCCCCTCTGAAAGTAACCACATCTCTAATGTTTCCACCAATGGATCTTACAAATGCCTTGATTTAGAACTTTCTTTGTTCTGATGCCATTAAAAACTTCATGAAACTGCTTCCGCATTGAAAATGGATCTTGCAGTAACTTAAGCCCATGTTTTGAGCCATGGTCACTCAAATTTAGATGTGGAATCAACTGTCTCTTATTCGGTTTGAGATGTGAGCTGTGTTACTTTAGAACTCTTGATTGGTCCATTCAGACTTGTGTCCCATTGTGTAACTACAAAACCATTTCTTGACCCCACCTAGTGACGCTTACTGACACTCTGGCAGTAAGTAGGCCAAAGTGGTCTGCAGAGCAAAAGCATCCACACCTCCTGGGTGTTTGTAAAGATATAATCTGGAACTGGGTCTCAAACCCAGCAAATCAGAACCTCTGCAGTTTTCATGGCTCAACAATCATTAAAAAGCTTTCTGGTGACGCTGACTTTTGCAGGAGTTGTAGAAGCATTGTCTTAGACTTTAAGCTGAAAAGTGCTGATTTTGAAACATTAAAGAGTCTGCCCTAAGAACACATCCGTTCATCCCAAAGTCAACTAAAAGGAAGTGGAACACCTAGTAAGGTCCAGACTCAGCCTTGGCAATTTGAGATCCTCAGCAAGGGTCTTTAATGACTAGGGGAATGCCTTCCATCAGAGCCCCAAGGAATTCCCTTTGAAAGGCTGTTTTTCCCTTGTCTCCACCCACTTTGCTCCTTAAGGGCACACCACCTGCTAAGGCAGAGGATGTGCAGGAGTAACACCAGTTCCATACCACCTGGGTAATTTGTTTCATTATTAATACCCTCTCAGCTACTGAAATGACTGCTTGTTCCCATTCTGTCTGTCTCCTAGAATGCAATCATGCATAGGTTTGGGATTTTTAGGGACAATTTATCAAATAGTAGCAACAAACATCCCAGCAAGCAGCCTATCTGGCTGTTCTCATCAGGAGGGCTGACATTATTCTCTCTGCTTTGAATTGCTGTATGCCTGTCACTCACCATCCAACCATCCAAGACACAGATAAGTGTGCATTTGAGAGGGATACAAAAGTAAGGGAACTCCTGGGGTGGGGTGGGATGCGGTGGGGGAGCATGAAAATCAGGAATACAAGAGTATCTACCATGTGGCGTCCCTGCCAGCTCGCCACCTGTCTATCAACCAGCCCCTGGCAGGTTGCTGGCAGCCTGGAGCCAGGAGCATACAGCTGTTCTTCTCCTGCTGAGAATAGCAACTTTGAGAGATCACCAAGGAAACACTATGGACAGGAGTGTGTGTGTGTGTGTGTGTGTGTGTGTGTGTGTGTGTGTGTGTGTAGGAAGAAAGAAAGAGAGTGAACAAAAACTCATCCACAACTAGGCCCAGAAGAGTGGGACATGGCAGTTGACTATAGATTTGAAAGTGCATGAACCCTGCTTTCTAGTAAACTGCTGACTAAAAGCAAAGGCCAGTAGCTCACTGGAGGAGATGACCCAAGAAAATGCAAGCAGCACTTTACAAAGACAGAGGCCAGGGTCAGGCATGCCCTTTCTTGTTCCCTGGTGGCAATCCTGAAAGAGTTGCCGCTTGGAGACCAGCATCTCCACATTGCTGGTTTCCCTGGTTTCTGCCTCCACCAGTGCTCAGCTCCTTGGCCGCATGCCTGATGTCAGCCATTACTAAGGGGTGGTAGGCAACAGAGCCCAGATTTGTTCTACTCTTAACAAAGGGTATAAGGATATTTTACACAAACAGCTCTGAATATTAAGACCCACCATCCTTAGCAAACAAAGCTGATTGGAATTTTCTATACTTGACACACTTGTGACATAAAATCTCAGAAATGAGCTTTATTTCATAAAGTTCAGGGCAGGTGAGGATCTTGTCCACAGCCACCCAGTTTCTAGTTCTAGTTAACATTCTTCCTGTTTAAGGCCTCTCAGAAGACTTTCTTCATAGGGCTGGTCAGTACAGAAGCTAATAATATGCATCACTTCCACATCCCAGAGGAATTCCATCTTTGCATCTGAGAAAATGTAGTGACATGTGCTCCATATCCAGTCACGGAGCTCATGGTATGTGTTCTTAACTACAGAAGCACAGGTGTTTCTAGTCAGCAGCCTGCTTCCTTCTCTTCCAGGATTAAGGGCACCAAAGTTCCTGTTATCCTGTGGCTCAGCCATCTTCCATTGCCTTGCTTTTATTGGCTGGAGAAAGATGGGGGTTCAATACCAGCTTCTGAATGCCCTTAGTCTGATAGGGACACACATCATCTCCATTTAAGGACCATCTCTAACCACACAGCCATCTCCTTGGGAAGACAAGAAATGTAATTCCTAGATAAGCACTCATTCTCCAGAGACCAGGAGAAACTCTGCAAGAGGAAAGACAAATCCCACTGTATGCTTCACTATCTCAAACATGGAACAGAAGCCTAGGCCTTCATCAGGTGGAATGCCCAAAGATGTTGGCATAACATCAAATACTTATCTCAGGCTCTTCTTTGGGTCCCTTCTGGGGACATGACTCCCTTAGAAAGGCTGAGAGAAAGAGATGCCATAGGCATCTGCTTGACTCGGAGTGCTCAGAGTTCCTTCACTACCTTCTTCCCAATCAGACTGCAGTTCTATTGAGGTGGTGAATTTACCTTTTTTGTTCATCACTCTATCCCTGACACTGGTTCTAAGTAAGTATTTGAGAATGGAGGATGGGAAGAAGGAAAGAAGGGTGTTCTGAAAGAATCTGGGTCCTCTTACCTGTATTTGTTTCATGTGAAATTTCAAGAGTAGCCACAAAGTGTGCTTGTCACATTTCAAGACCCTGGACTCATTGCACGTTGGAATTAGAGTTGTTTACCGACACCCAATCTTGACAACCTCTAACGACAATTCTAGATGCTTTTAAATACAATGTGCTGCTATACACAAACAGAGAAGAATGATCCAGCAGCTGTACTACCATGTGGGTAAATCACAAAACACTTATGCCAAGTAGGAAAGCCCAGGCAAACCATAGCATATGCTAAATAATTTCACTTATACACAATCCTAAGAAATGCCAATATAGTGACAAAAAGTGTAGCCGCAGTTTCCTGGACATGGGAGGATGTGGAGAATGGTAAGTAAGATAAAAAGGGCATGCAGAAACTTTAGGGATGCGTGGACTGGTTGGTTTTCTTTTCCAGAGTAGTGTGCTCCTGAGTATATTACATGTGCCAAAATTTCTCAGATTATACAATGTAAATATGTGGAGTTGATAGTATATCAACTGTAGCTCAATAAAGGTGTTAAAATATAAATAAATATAAATAAAAATAAGTGTGACATTAAGATATATACCAGCAATGGCCTGCATGTACCCTCTGCCACGCCCTTCCACAGATGGTTTGTGTTTTTAAAAACCCTTCAGGTAAGGCTACAGATAGATATATATACATCCTTGTCAGCCTGGAATCCTAGAATACTTAGGAAGCTGGAGCAGAAAGATGGTGAGTTCAAAATCAACCTGAGCTACATTGCAAGACTATCAGCAAAACATAGGTAAATATGTGTCTGTTTGAGGGATGGGTTGAAAACAATACCCATTCCCAGTGGTTTTTGGAGAAATGGTGCGACTCTATTGATTCTGTCTGAGTTTGACTTCAGTTTAGAAGTCGTCTAAACCACAGAGACAGGATATTACTTACACCCCCTTGTCGGCACACATTCATGTAAGCGCTCATGTTTGCCAATCTGCTTTTTCCCAGGTTCCTTAGCCGAGCCCATCCCTGATTTGCTGGCCCAGGTGCCCAGCAACCCAACACCCCTACCATGGCTGAAGACGCAGACATGCGCAATGAGCTGGAGGAGATGCAGAGGAGGGCTGACCAGCTGGCTGATGAGGTAAGGGATAAAGACCCAGAAGGTAAGCCAAGAAACTGGAAGGTTGGTGGTTTGAATTCATATTATGGAAAAGAAAATAAATAAATAAATAAATAAATAAAGACTTCTAATGTCTCAAAAAAAAAAAAAAAGTGAAAAGGAAACTTCCTTTTCCTCTATGTAGGGTTCCCTTTCCTCTACGCAGGTTGGAAAGGGTTGATTGTAAAGCACAGATATAAAGTAATGTCTTGGCCCTGACTCTTGACTCCTAGACGTTTAAGCGGTCAGGGTCCTTTAGGGAAAAGCTTTATCTTTGGATGTTGCGCTGTAGTAAACTCAGCTCTGAAGGTTAGCACGTTTAGGAACATCCCCGGTTGGTAGCTAAGTGTGGCCGTTATTAAAATTGAAGTGTATAATCTGAAAATTATATATATAAATATATATATTCTTTAAAGTGATGGTACTGTGTGCTCAAAACTCATTGCTTCCTAATTAGTTTAGCAATTTTTTTTCTGCTATCTATGCTCTTGAGTCATTAAATCACTGCATGTCAGGAATGGGAACCCCAAGAACAGTACTGTTGTAGATCTCAACTCAGGAATCAAATAGAAAGCAATGATTTTAACCCAGAATTACTAAGAACCCAAAATTGGAAAATGCTACCACTCATGGTTTGCTTTATTGTTTTGTCAATTGCCTAGAGTTAAGACAGAAGGGGAAATATAAATGATTTAGATAAAACATTTAGAGTATGCATGTCTATTACATTAATACATAGCTATTACATTAAAAAATAATACAAAAGTTGGTATTGGGGAGGTGGGGTGGATCTGGGAGTCGTTGGGGAAAGAATGGAACAGGTAAATATAATCAAAATACATTGTATGAAACTCTCAAATCATAAAGTACTTTTTTTTAAAGATTTATTTATTTATTATTTATACAGTGATCTGCCTGCATGTGTGCCTGCAGGGCAGAAGAGGGCACCAGATCTCATTATAGATGGTGTGAGCCACCAGGTGGTTGTTGGGAATTGAACTCAGGACCTTTGGTAGAACAGCCAGTGTTCTTAACCTCCGAGCCATCTCTCCAGCCCCATAAAGTACTTTTTTTAAGTATAAAAAATTTGAGAAAGTTTTCCATTATTTGGAAACAGGTTTTTTGGTTTGTTTGTTTGCTTACTTGTTCTTTGTTTTAGTTTTGTTTTTTGTTTTTTTTTTTTTTTTTTAAAAAAAAACAGAGTTTCTGTGTAGCCTTGGCTGTCCCAACTTGGCTGTCAGTTTGTAAACCCAGCTGGCCTCAAACTCACAGAGATCCTCCTACTTCTGCCTCTCTGAGTGCTAGGATTACAGTCATATGCCCAGCTGAAAATTGTTAGGTTTTCTTTCTTTTTTTCTTTCTTTTTTTCTTTCTTTTTTTCTTTCTTTCTTTCTTTCTTTCTTTCTTTCTTTCTTTCTTTCTTTCTTTCTTTCTTTCTTCTTTTCTCAACAAAAACATTGTCTTCTTTACAAATGAGTCCAGTTCCAACTTTAGGTCTTCACCTCTTCATTTTCTTCTTATTTTTGAACATAAGTGAAGTTAACCATTTCCAGTGACCATGTTGGAATTAAACTAGTCCATCATATGGTGAACCATAGATAGACTACACCAAATATATACAGGAGCTTTCTGAGAGAATCAGCATGCTATACAGGATTTATAACTAACCATGCTGTGTTGTATTATGTGTCAACTCTGTTTTTATTTTATTTTATATGCATTTGTAGTTTTTTTTATCCAGAATCAGCTGTTAAACATTTGCCAGCACATCACTGCTAATAGCCATTCCCCCCACCTCAATAAGAAGCCACTTAAGTCCTTTCCAGCAAAAATTCACATCCTTCAAGTTCTTTCAGGATTGTGTCCAACATACGTTTACTACTTAAAAGCATGGTTTTGAGAAACCACGCTGCTTGTTGGATTGTTAAAGGAACAGAGAACAAAGTGGCCATGCTGTGCCTGAGGGATCAGCTGCTGAGTTCTGAGTTTTCTTCATGCTTTTTCTTATCTAGTATGAAGATAATTATAGTTGTCTCCTATGGGCTAGTTATGTCAAACTTACTTCATTTTTTTCACCCTAATTTTTTTCACCTTAATTTGTATTGATAACAACTTACAGTTGTGTTTCTAGAAGCTTTAAAGGAAACTTGTTAAAGCCTCATGAAAAATTATGTTTGTGTTTAAAATTCAATATCCCTAGTCAAGGTGGCCAACATAGTCCTCAGAGTATATGAAATAGTTTTCTATTCATCTGGAGTATACAAAATGATATCTTTTAAAGATTACTTTGTCTTTGATATCAAGATAAGCCTCATATGGTTTTGGTTTTATGAAGATAAGCTTCCAAGTGATTGCTTTGGGAAATCTGATCATGTAAAAAGCCCAATAAGAAAGAGATTGAAACTAGAAAGATATGTTGTGTCTCAGTTGCAAAGTTGAAGTTATATGTAATAAGGACCTTTCAGTTTTTCAAGTGAAAAAAAGTATTTCTGATTTTCCTAGTGTTCTATTCCTGCCTTAACAGAGTTTCTGTTTTTCTGTCTTAGTCCCTGGAAAGCACCCGTCGCATGCTGCAGCTGGTTGAAGAGGTAAGAAGTAGTTTCTACTAACATAAACTAGTTCCCTATGTGGACATGTTCATTTCTAGTTCTTATTGCGTTTACTAAGCCATGCCCCTATTGCTTCCAATGCTAACATAGCCTATGAGAAAGTTGTCAACTAGTTATCAAGATGTTCACCACCCTCCATCCAAATCTACTTCTAGGGTCTAGAGTGCAGAGAAACCTACCATCTTCCCAACAGTCACAAAGGTGACCCCAGAAAGCAGACAGAACAGTGCTTAACCTATGAAGGAATTACCTACATAAAATCTTCATTTGTAATGATTTTGTTGCAACAAATTACAGCTAATCTAAAATTCTAACTTCAACCACATTTATAACTTTGAAAAACATGTATTTATACAGGGATATCATCTTTTGAAATTGTTGTATTTAGTGTCAGACACTAAAATTTATGAAACAATAGGAAAAGTCTTTAACAAAGAGAAAAATCTAGTTCAATTAAGTAAATATAAAAGTTCTTTTATATTACTGACTCTGATTGCACATCCATTTGTAAAGCATTTGTAATTCATAGTTTAATGAATCCCAATCTATTTTTAAGTGGGTAAAATAGGGCAGATAGCAATAATGGACTCAAAGCACATTTGCAATAAAACCTACTCATTTCAGTTTGGTAGAGAAGCAGTCAACCAGGAAGAATAAATGGATTAATTGAACTTGCCTATTGGGAGAGATGGAGTGGAAAAAGAATGGGTTGGACTATATTTATCTTAACCTAATAAAACAAGCCTAATGGTTTATATTCAGCAACATGCTTCTGTAGTCACAGTTTGAATGTGACTGCTTATCAGTGTATAAATTCAAGTGTGATTATCTTTTGTAGAGATCTTGGGCTTTCTCTGACAGAATGATTAGATGAGCCTATTCACCCACCCTATGCTATAATAAATTGCTTATGCAATGACATGAAAGGGAAGGAAAAAAGATAAATTTTACAAAGGCTCAGAGGAAAGGCAGCTGCCTCTTATATGAGAGCAAATGCTGTCTTCCTTTATTTCTGAAGCTGCAGTTCCTCACCTAAGGGTGAAGTGTGGCTAAAGTGAATGGTCACAGGAAGAGTAGGGAGAAGTATTGATGCATTTGGGGGAGAGAATCTATTATTTCACCTATGACAAACTGAGCTTGCAATGCAGGACAAATTGACCCCATAGAGAGGCATCCCTACAGGGTCTCAATAGCAAAGAACAGCAGCCTTCTACTCTAAATGCGAAAAACATCTCTTTTGCTGTGTTCTAGGAACACAGCTCATGCAGAAGTGCTTAAATGCCAAGAAGGAGGCAAATAACCTCAATCCAGGAGTGCTTTTAATGTGGCATTTATGTGTTATTTTCCAGTTTGTTGCAAATGAAACAACAAAAGGACAAGTGTTTGGAACATTCTTCTATGAGCTCTGAGATCAACCTGAAGGGAGTTCACTATTTAACTGCTATAATTATTTTTTTGTATGCTACAGTATTATCATCACAATATATTTCATGACCTACAACCAGAGCCTCCAAACTCGCTTTTTTACTGGTTTGTGTACATGCACGCACATACAATGTGCATTTCTCAAGCTGTCTCCAGTTTGTTAAGTTGTGCAATACTGAAATATTGCCAAGTCTGTGGAAAGCAGTGGAATCAGGATGCACCTCTTTAAGCTGGCCTTTGTCCTTCACAGTCTTGGGAACATGAACCTTTCTCTCTTGTATGTCTTAAAGTGAAAGTAGTGTCAGCCTGTCTAGCAAAAATCTGTCTGCTCTAATTTATTCTAAGAATAAAAGCTCCTTGGGTTGAAGTAATACTCTCAAATTATATGTTTTTGTTTCTCCTAAATTGTTTCTCGATCGAGCATGAAGTTGCATCTTAGAACAAGGAATGAAAGAGAGAGGATCAATCATCTAATAAATAAGAGGAAGCTGTTAGGCATTTCATCCTTAGGAAATTGTGAGCACAGCACTGTTAAAGCAAACTGGTTTGCTCTTTTTTTCCTCCTGAGTCGTTGTATATTTATAGTGAAATATTTCTCATGTCTAGGGCATTGGATATTCAGATGATGTTCTGATTTTCAATCAAAAAGGAAATTCTCTTTAAATATTAAATATTCATCAAGGACAGAAATCGTTTGGAAAATATGAGCTTTGATATACCAGAATCTTACTCACAACCTTTAGGCCCATCGGTGCTACATAATTTGAATTGAACTGAATTATTATTGAATTCGGTTTCAAAGACAGGAAAGGTTACTGGAACTGAAAAGTGTCCGTAAAGCAAATAGTGCACTTCCCAAGAAAGTGCAGCTTTGAGATATCCCTAATAAACTCTAGAGTATAACAGCAGGGAAGGCTGGAGACCTGACTTTTAATAGAAGTCACCATCAACATTTCAAGAGTGATAAAGTTACGCAGAGGTCAGTGGAAAAGTTTCAGAAAAGCTGAACATTATAGGCAGGTACAAAGCTTAAAGCCTTGGAGGCATTTGGGTTCACAACCTGGAGTTAGGAACTTGATTTTGACAGATACATTTCAACAAATACTGTGCAACACCTAATAGTGGAGAATGGAGAGAAGATACAAATGATGTATTGCAGGGTAATAACATGTAAATGGGTGTCCAAATTCAAGGTCATACCTACCTTGGGAGCATGAAAACGAGAAGAATGAAATCTAGAATGAGAATCATCAAGGTGTCCTCCAGGAGGAAGTATTTGAGAACAGAAAGGTTAACCCTGATGATGCTAAATGCAGAAATGAAGTCTGCATGCCAACAGCCTGGGGCTGTAAAAGCTTGAGCCAGAAAAGGCCATACTGCTTTAGGCAGGCAGATTTGAAAGCACAACACAGCCTTCCTGAAATAGTTACTGAAACACTAATATTTCATGAAGTGTCTTAGCCTCATTTCTCTTTCTATATCAGCTTGTTCTTCAAAATGCTTTGACAATAAAAAGAAAAAAATGATTCAAAAGCCACAGTTGTAGAAAATGAGACTTTCATTTCAAATTTTTAGAAAATTAAGTTGGTAGTTCTTTATATTTAAACAGATGTGAGGTCTTTCAGAGTTCAAGGGAGTGCAGAGGTGTCCAGACTTTGGAGAAGATGCTTTGGAATTTGGAGAAAGTATCTCAAAAGTACAACAATAAAATATTCTAGAAACATTTGTTTGGTTCATTGGTACTATAAATAAATTCATCAATATATTTTTAAAAATAAAGATAGAAAAATAAATTTTACAAAGGAAAGAAATAAAAAGAAACATTTCTAACTCCTTTCAGATGGACTTTTTCTCCAGTAAACTCAAACACAAATGAAGCATCCAAGTCATATAAAACTAGATCTGCTTCCTTTCCCTCTCTCTCTAGCTATTAAAACACACACCTCTTGAAGGAACTAGAGAGAGGCTTGTTCTGCTCCCTTTGCAGTATTATCCTATCCCTGTCCCTCTGTCTTCTAGATCTTATAAGAGCAACCCAGTTATTTTGATGAATCCATCAGCAAATTGAGCCAAATTTAAGTTTCTTTATTGAGACCCAACCATGTGCCAGCTACTGAGCTTACAGCCATCATTATCACCATCATAATCAAATATATGTTAGCTGATTTAACAATCCTAGCCACATTTTACCAATGCTTTGATTCCCATCTTTAACCTAGGGGACTTTGGGACAGGCAGTGGTTAAGTAAATTACTTGAGACACATGGCAGGAAATGGTAGACATGACATTCATGTTCATGAAGCCCTATTGCCGGGTGTTGGTTACCACATACAGCCCTTCAGTTTCATCTGTCATAATTTCTTTTCCTTTGAGAGTTCCACATCAAGCAAAATGATTTGAGGGAGCAGAGTGGCTCATTCTAAACATGCTGAGATTCCCTTCAAATCAAATCCAACATCTGAATTTCTTGTCAATTCCTTGTTGTACTCCACTCAGCCACCCATGAACTGAACTAGTTTACAGATGGCTATACTTTCATTTAATCCTTATGATGGCAGTGGGAAGTGAGAGAGCTCTTACTGTAACCCCTCATCCTCCCCCACCCCTATGACCACACACACGGTGAGCTGAGACACAGAGCATTGAGGTTACAGCAGTAAGACTTCAAAGAGAGATCAAGAGTTTAGAATCTGGCTGGAGAGATAGCTCAGAGGTTAAGAGCATTGGCTGTTCTTCCAAAGGTCCTGAGTTCAGTTCCCAGTAACTATATGGTGGCTCACAACTATCTATGATGAGATCTGGTACCCTCTTCTGGCCTGCAAGAATACATGCAGGCAGAACACTGTATAAATAATAAATAAATAAAATTTTTAAAAAAGAATTTAGAATCATTTACTGAATCTAAGATCTTATTTCTACCTTCTGACCAAGTTGTTTCTCATTATGAAAAAATACCATTGAGAGACAGGCCATAAATTCATCTATCCCTTATTCTTAAGGTCGGGACAGAGTAGATATCCAGTACATATTTACTGAATAAGTGAATGAAAAAAAACCATAAGTGAAATAATAATAAATGGAATCTACCAACCACACCCTCTTACCATTTGTCTCTACCTTCAGTATGGGAAATGATGAGCCTATGGACGAGTCTCTTGACCTTCCAGCACAACCCAACTTTTCTGACTCCCAGGCCAACACTTTCCATTTATGTTCTCCCAACTATGACAGGGTCAAACACTCTTGTTTTCCAGCTAGTTTAGTGAGTCATTCTGGTGTTGAAGCATGCAGCACCTAATTGGGAAAAAATGTAAAATTATACTTAGAGGGCATCATACAAATAGGTGATAAACATTATATACCATAGACTGCTATGTGTGTAAATAAATGAGAACTGAGTTGACAAAAGTCACCAGCTTTTTCCATCTTCTGTCCTCATCAGAATGGTACAGGATCTTTGAGGAGAAAATATTCTCTAACATGTTTCTGCATTGTCACATACATATGCCTGACTAAGCCACCAGCTTTTTATTATACTATCTCTTAAACAATGGCTAGCAACTGCAGACACAGGCAAAGGAATCATTGAAATGCAAACTAGGATAGATGGAAGCCTACTCATAATATATTTAAAGAAAGACTTGAAGATGTCTTTTGTGGTCTATAATCTCTCTGGTCTGGTCAGTGTGCATGTGTCCCTGTAGCATGCAACAGAGTAAAGTTAGACTCCCAGACACGGAACGTTTTCAGATTCAACAGGACAGTTTCTTCACTTCTCCTACCACCCACTCACATTCTCACTAACTTAGGTAATCTAGGTTTATGTGTATTAAAACAGTGATATGAGGAGTATTCTAAAGGTTGATGCACAAAAGAACTACAGTGACCCTGTAGAGGAGTGATTCTCTCACATGGAAACATTTTACAGATGTGAGAGTTCAGAGCAAAATATTTTCTGATCTCACTTTGTCCTCCAAATCCTGAAGAATGTCTCTCCTTAAAGAAAAATCAGAGAGTCAGTTTTCTTTTGAGATGTGCTTCTCAGCATCTACTCCTCTGTGATAACCCTAAGCACCAGGACGCCAAGATCCTTATGTAACTCCCATGAGGCATCCCTCTGCTCGCCATTAATGCCCACATTTCTAGTTGAACTTGCCAGAAAAGAAAATTCAATCTACAAGATTGTGAAAATGTTGCTTTCTGTGTTATAAAAACTATTGGTATTTTTACTCTTCAGAAATAAAATTATATATGGCATTAAGTATATGCATTCCAATGTACTTACTGTATTGAAGGACCAGGCCCATCCTATGGAGAGTCTGCTCATGGCCCTGATAGTCACTGACAAAGTCACCCTTTACCCAATTCTTCCTAGTCCCTTCCCAGTCCCTTAATGCTCTTGTCATGTGTCTTCCCTTTGTTTCCCTTTGGTTCTTCTTCATTTTTCATTTCTAGGGATAATTGTCTCCTTACTGATTTCTCTTTCTCTCTTTTCTCTCTCTAACTTTTCACCTTTGCTACCATTATTGGAATGTAGAGTAAAGATGCTGGTATCAGGACTTTGGTTATGTTGGATGAACAAGGAGGTAAGTTCAGATTTGTTCAGTAAGAGCAATTCTTCATCTAAATAAAGTTGCAGTTTTTAATTTTTTGTGCACCCCAGGTAGCCATTCTGCATGTGTTACATGTGTATATAAATAAATGAGTTCTAGAAAGCTCACCTTGCTACATTTCTTTCTCTGTTGAAAATATTGCATGTGGAAATGTCAAGGCCTCCTTTATGAATGAACTTATGGTACTGCTATCTCTGCTATGTACAATGAGATAATAGATTTTAAAAAGCAAAATTTGTGTGTATTCCTTAAAACACAATATATTAGATAGTGTTGGGAATTTTTTTTAAAGATTTTATTTATTTTATGTATGAGTATTCTAGCTGCACGTGCTCCTGCAGGCCAGAACAGGACATCAGTTCCCACTGTAGATGGTTGTGAGATACCTTGTGGTTGCTGGGAATTGAACTCAGGACCTCTGGAGGAACAGACAGTGTTCTAATCCACTGAGCCATCTCTCCAGCACCCGGGAATTTTCTTATTATTCTTGCATTCAGTTTCTCACTAAGTTTGGTTTCCTCTCACTAATACTCAGGTTATGGAACATACTGTGTGAGATTATGCATTTCTCCTGACCATCCAGGTTTATCATCTGGAATTGTTGGTTTTCAAATTATTACAGAGAATCCCTGAATAAGTAAAAATTAGTTTTTTCATGGAGTGTCTGAAAAGTATACATTTTAACCAACAAGAATGTTTGAGCTATTTTAAAAGCATTTTTTGGAAAGGCTAGGAACAAAAAAACAAAAACAAAAAAACAGAGTAAAAATGTTAGTGTATAATCTCTACACCCTAAGGTGAAAACTATAAGGGCAGTTTTGTATTTTTCTTTGACACTAAATATCTAGCAATACAGTGATAATGTATATAATTCTAGCCACAAATTCTTTACCTGTTTTTATTTTGAATTTTTATAATAATTAGGTGCTTGAACACTTTCATACTTTGTAAAAGCATTAGAAAAAAATAATATTGTGATTTTTCTCCAGTGGCAAATATAAGAATGTAAAACTCATTCCAGAAAGGACATGGTAAACTCCAAGCACAAATTTAAAACTGATAGGAAAATTGCCATGCTGATAACCTGACATAAAACACTAAACTATAGATAACCTATACATTTTATCAAAGATAAACAACTAAAAAAAATGAGCATAAGATATAAAGTTTCAAGTAGACATGTAAAATATTGTCTCAATCATCAGTTATAATGGCATGGCAGTTTTTAACAAGTCGATACAAAGTTTAAAATTGATAATACTCAGTGCTATAATATATTAGGAAAAGAGAAACTCTTAATTCTCATATGGGTGCTTTGGGCTGATACACATGTCATAAGAAACAATTTGATAATAATTTTGAAGTATTTTTATCTTTAACTGAAACATTCAATTCCTAGACTATTTAACTGCAGTTAAACATTTACAATTGTGTGAAAAAAATAAATATGCCTTACTTGTAGCTGTATAAGATAGGAGGAATGATCTAAATATTTGTCAGGGAAGAGATCAAACAAGTCATCTGTGATATAGCCATAAAGAGATGTTCTGCTGTCAATATAAGGCATAAGATAAGTGTTTAATGACTTCTGGAGAGTTAAAGTCAGAATAAGAAGAGAAGAGAGAAAGCCATAGCATTTCTAGTGTTCTGAGAAACAGAAGCATTAGATATTTATTGGGAAATGCCAGTGTTGGATTTGTATAAACAATAAAAGCTAATGATTGCTGGGTGATAGCAAGAGCCTTCAGACTATGATATGGATCTAACACCCGGAAAGGCAGTCTGAAAGGAAAGAAGTATAGAGGAGTGGAAGCAGCCCAAACTGTAGAACTGTTCTGAGAAGGTCTCAGCTAGGTTGATGGAGAACCTAGGAGCTAAGATTACCAACCCCAAGTAGAGAAGAGAAGCCCATAATAGGCAGAAATGCCACAATCCTGGCAATCCCAGTGTGCCTACACAGAGGCCTTGCTCTCTCAAGATGCTATGAATACAAAAGCTACGCAACTCACAAAAGCAAAGCTACACAACATCCTTCTGATGGGCTCCTCTCAATGCTATCATAAAGAGACATTTGTTTTTATAGGATTTGTGTTAAGCTTCTTCAAAATATACACCAAATAACTGTAAAAATAAGGAAAAAAAACAATTGTACACCAACCTAATCATTTTTCTTCCAATATTCAAATTACAGTTTGTGGAAATCTCTAAAATTAAGAGTATAGTTGAGTTCTGTTCTAAAGGTATTATAAGAGGGTCAGTCTTAAAAACTTACCTGATACATCTGTCATAATTACATGCTGGCTTGATCTGTGTAGCAGTGTCTTACCTCTGAAATAGGGGGTGCAGCAAGTCATTGCTTTAAAAGTCGTGAAATAGAAGGTGCCCACATAGAGTGACAGTTTCCAAAGCGAAATTAAAACAACAGCACTGAAAGAATTAGCAGTTCTGCCTTACCAACTCTCTCAGTTAGTAGTCAGTGGTATGGAGAAAGTGGCTTTACAGCAGAAGAAAGACTTGGGGTAATGTCTTTTTTACTCCTCTATAAAATACCGACATAAAGATGTGGCATGGAAAAGGATACATAGAGACAGAGCTGAAGAGAGAACAGCTGGGAATATAACTTTGTTGTATAGTACCTATTTAACAAGAATGAGTTCGTCAGTTCAGTCCCTGGTGTCAAGATGAAAAGACAGGAAGAGAGGTAGAAAATGAATAGCCTACTTACCCGAGTTGCAAACATCCTTGTACTTTGATGAAGAAAATTAAGAGGTACAATGTGCTGAAATCTCATGCATTTGCAAAAAATTCATAATTCTTAAACACCATGATTCCCATGAGCATCTAGATACTATTCTCTAAGAAACAAAGAACAGATTCTTCCCTATACACACACACACACACACACACACACACACACACAAACACAAACAAGGGATAGTGAATGTTTTCAGCAGAAACATTTTGGATTCCTCCTAAGCATATTTCCCACAAGAGCTTGTGTTATAGCAGCTGTGTAATGAACAGCTTATACCAACAGCAACAGAAAATCTGCAATTGTAAGTTTCCAAACGTGGGTGATCTGAGGTTTGTCTTAAGGGGTGTACACTCTACTTTTGTAAACTAAGAGCTTGGGATCTTTGCAAGTGACAGATGAGGGTGCCAACCACTATCTTTCCTGCTTCTGAAAGTGTCAATTGTGCAATGTTATTTGTTTAGATCAGTAACTGCTTCTTAATTTCTCTTCAGTTTATGTATTAATTTTGTCTCTGCCTGACATCCAAAGTATTAACTATTTCTACCTCACAGCTGTGCAAGGAGCCACAAGCAACAACCATCCTCCTAGAGTACCATTGCAGCTACTGTGGCGGCAAGCCAGACCTCTGCAGGTTGTCCACCTGAACAGCTGCACTGGGAAGTTCCTTATAGGATTCTTGTTTTATACCCAGGTATCAAGGAGATACCAAGAAGCACCAGGCAAGGCAGACAACTGTGGAGACATACAGAGCCTGGGCTTTTGTTTCTCCTAAAAATGGTGTCTCCCAAGAAAATCTCCTACAGGGCTCTGTACTAATATGGCTAATCTAACCTTGGCTTCTGTTTGTTTCTTTTGTTAGTTTTCTTATGTGTTATTTATTTGTGATGACTCAGTCCAGGCTCTCTGAGAACATACCTATGATGAGCTCTAAATTAAACAGTAAAATGTCTGGTCACTGCTGTCAGAAAAAAGACAAAATCAAGGCCAATCTACAGAGCCAGCCAGCTATCGTAAAAGTTGATGGCACTACAAGGCAGTGTTTTAGAAAATACCCCACCCTCTGGCTAATATCCACTCACCAACCTCAGTTAGGAATGGCTCAGGCTGTCCAATGTGGTGGCCACTATGAATGTGTGGCTATTTCACTTTATTGAAAGGAATGTCAGTGTTGTTCACAAATTCTAAGCCAAGTAGAAATTATATAAACAGTTATCTTTTCACTGAATATTGGTAAGAAGGCTTGCATCCTAGGTAAAATATTTATTGTATTTTACTTTAGGACCAGGCTGAGTATTCGAAGAGTGTTAATATACCGCCCTTTACTGATGATATTATTAGAAAAAATGTCTAAACAAATCCCTAAACAGTCTATCTACCACTAGTGAATCTATCACAAACAATTGATCACTCAAATGTCATGACCAAAAAATTGAACCCCCCCAAAAAAGGGTTTAATTTCTGCTAACAACATGTGCTATTATATACTAGAAGACTCTCCTGACTCTCACCACACCCCAAAAGTTGTCTTCTCAATCTCCTGGAACAAACACACAAGAGGAGACATAGCCAACCCTATTCAATATTCTTGAGAGTCTCACAGCTACAGCTGTACATGGGAATGAAATGAAGACACTGGATGCTCTCATGAACTTCCTGAGAAGTGCATCACAGCAGTTATTCCAAGGCTACCAAGTCTTACTGTGTCAGATATGCCCACAAATGCCACTAGCATGGTAACAGTAATATCATTGCTAGGATACCTGGACAAAAATGTTCTATGCTGTTTTTTTAATCAAATTAGCATCAGATTTTCTCTTTCAGTCAAATGTTTGACAAAAAAGCTGAAAATCCACAGTCCAATGCAGCTTTAGGAGGTGTGAATATGGATGTGCTTATTTTTATCTTTCTGTAGTGGCAACACTTAACAGTCAGTTCACATATATGTATCACTTCTTGTTCTCCACAGGCACCAGGGATAACACTTATGAAATCTTGTCAGAGAGTCATTACTTTTGCAAAAACAGAAAAGTATTGTTTTGTAACATTAAAAAATGCATCAGGATGTATAAACTCTGCAGATGCATCCCTCTACTATAATGAATGTGCACTGCAGCCATTATTTGTGTCCTGCAGTGACTGGGAGCCCAGGTACTTCCTTAAATCCATTCTAACACAGCACTGTTTGGGCTGTCTGCATTTTTTTTTTTATTTCAACCAGAATTTTTATTTCAATCAGTATGCGTGATGGTTCTTCATTTGATGGCATGCTGATGAAGGCCTAAACCATGTTAACCAAGACATGAAGGAAGCCAAAATGTTTTTTTAAAGGTTAGAGAAATGCTCTGTCTTTTCCTTATACCCTAATCCTCTCACTCAGGTGTTAAATTTGATTCACAAATTGATTTATTACATGTCTAAACAGAAACCAGAGCTATGTCTTCATTTTCAAACATTTCAAACATTCATTTCAGTTGGTCATTTCAAAGACCAACTGAGCTTGGCCTGGTTGTGCTGACAATCCAGTACTTAGGATGCTGGGTTACAGAGGAAGATCCTGTGTCAAAACAACAAACACACACATCAGGAAGGGAAGAAGGCAAGGAGAAAGGAAAATTTCCTCAAATGTGAAGAAGTAGGAAGGGAGCAACATGTCCTTGAATAGAAAGATTTCCAGGACATCCCTGTCTCTCTGTGCTTGGCAGAAGCATGGCACTGCCCGCCCTCCATGCTGGATAAACAGCAGGATGTTTGCCTGAGCTTCCGAACAGCAGAGCAGAGGCAGCGGAGACAACATCTTCTTTAGACCCACTAAAGAAAGTAAAAATTCATTCTATCCCTCCTTTGCACCCCTGGGGTGCCTCGTTTAGGCTTTACAGTAAAAATTTCCACAGCATACATTCATGTGAAATGGTTTTTGGATGATTGTTTATGACCACAGGCTAAAAAGGTGCTTATCAGTTTTATTCAAGGTGTGTTTAATTCTACAGGCACAATTGTCAAAGCATGCATGAAAATATAGACTAAAAGAGGAGCAGGGTGTAACTGGGCATTATCATTAGACAGCCAAGACATCATACAGCACTTCTCCTTTAATGGTCTTAAAAGCTACTTGACAAAACACTTTCATTAAACTTGCAGTTACCCCAATTTGGTGACACTTTTGAGAAATTAATCAGTTTGGTTTATGTAACCATGGAAACCTAGAACTGGTTCATTTTTGTATCAAGCTGTGTTTCAGATGCACTGAGGTCAGCTTTCCTTGTAGCAATGGCACAGTGCCATTCTATGTGCCAAACCATTGCCCCTCTTCCAAATAGACACAGATTTTCCATGTTCTCTGATCAGGTTGATAGTTAGCAGGTCCCCACCCTGGAAAAACCACAGGAGAAGAAAAAAGTATCTTCCCCAGTCTTTGTAGCATGTCACTTATAGGGTAAGAAATGAACAGCAATGTTTTGGTACTTACAGTATTGCTCTGCTGATGTTACTTTTTTTTCCAGCTTCTATGAATTATTACAGAAAACCAAGAACAGACCATTGGCTACTTTGGCTGTACAGCCACTGCTGAGGGAAGAGCCATGTCTATTCCTGCTTACTCTTCTGTTGTTTGCCACAAAGAGGACAGTACATTCTATTTTCTCCCTTTATCTGGCTGGGTATACTTAAAGACTAAAAGATGCAGATATTCTAAAACTGAAGCAGATCTTTCCTGAAACATTGAATGTGAACCCCTTAAACATTAATTAACACTTTTTTTTTCCTTTCTCTTGGGTTTCACTGGTGTGTGAGTCAATACACTGTGCTGTTGCCCTGGATATGCAAAATCAAACAGACCTTTTGATCCCATCCCATCATGTCTAAAGTACAAACTCTTTTGAGCATTGTTCTGGTTCATTTCCTTCCACCCATGTCTGCAGAGGGAGCAGCAGCAGTCTGCAGCAATGCATCCTCTTGGACAATGCATTGTAATCTCAATCTCTCTCTCTCTCTCTCTCTCTCTCTCTCTCTCTCTCCTCTCTCTCTCTCTCTCTAATTCTGTTTCACATAGTCATTTCTCATGTTCTGTTGGAAACCCAAAAAAAATTCATTCCACACTATCATCCCTTTGTCCTAACCAGAACAACTCGATCGTGTCGAAGAAGGCATGAACCATATCAACCAAGACATGAAGGAGGCCGAGAAAAATTTAAAAGATTTAGGGAAATGCTGTGGCCTTTTCATATGTCCTTGTAACAAGTAGGTACTGGGAACCAGCTCTAATCTGTGGCGTCCAGTTTTCTTTCTTTCTTTTCTTTTCTTTTTTGTTTTTCTTTTTTAATGTCAAAGTGAATGTCTGAAGTTTTGTCTTTTTTTTCTTTGTCCTTTTCCATCTGCTTCATTCTGTGGGGATAAAATACTTGTGTTTAATCAGAACAACTGGAACGCATTGAGGAAGGGATGGACCAAATCAATAAGGACATGAAAGAAGCAGAAAAGAATTTGACGGACCTAGGAAAATTCTGCGGGCTTTGTGTGTGTCCCTGTAACAAGTAGGTGCTGCCTGCCTGCCTGAAGCTTTGGTTTGCCCAAGGCTCATCTCCAAGCCTTGACTAGCTCATTCCTGCAGGCTCATAGGCAGGATGAGCATGTGGCATGCAGAACAGATCAATACCGTCTCCAATGCATTCATCTCATAGTTTAGATAATATTAGTGAGAGTTACTGTTGATGCATTAAAAATCAGGCATACTACAGTGAAAGCCTCACTGTTGGCAATTGTTATTGATAAACATTTCAACATTTTCCAGAAAGTGTACTTTGAGACTGAGGCGCTCAGGCACGTTATTTTCCTCCATCCCAAGAACTAAAATTGTAGGTTTAGAAAAGACTTTGCTGAGTGTGGAGGATTAGAAACTCGTGTGTCAAGGTTTGTATTTTTTCTTCAGAAGTAAAAGAGACAGGCTAATTTGGCCTAAGTAAGCCTCTGCAAGACAGAGAGTGTGGCAGATTCCCTCTTGACTGCTCACCAGCTCCTACACCTCACCCAGTGCAAGGCATCCTCCTCAGTGAGAGGCGCTAGCCTGTCCCACCTTGAACCCAATCCCTCCAGTTCCTTTTCTTTGAAGAGCTGCCTGTACACTGGCTGAAATGTTGAAATGTGTAGATTTTGCATGCACGACATTACAAAACATTTAACTGTTCTCAAGGTTCTGCAACGCTTCTGGTTTTTTTGTTGTTGTTTTTTTGGGTTCCTTTTTAGTTGTTGTTTGGTTGGTGGTTGGTTGGTTTTTGTTTTGTTTCTTTTCTTTCTTTTTTTTTTTTTTTGGAATGTAGCAGAAATGTGACATGTGGTTATAAAGGTTTGCAACCAAAAGAACCCCAAACCTCGAGGGTTCTAGAAGATAGTCTCATTTGGCTAGCAGTGGGGGAAATGCATGAGTGGATTGCCCAACATGCATTTGGAAAATTAAACTCGTTATCTGATCTCCTTTACCCCTTCCCCTTTCCCTCTTAAAAAAAAACCTTTTACCCAGAAGCTCTCCTGATCCTGTTGTTTAGAATAGAAATTAATGTCATAGTGAGCAGATTATATGACCATTCAAACCTTTTAAACTTTGAGGCTGATTCGAAATATCCCACTTCCTGTTTAGGAGGGGGAGGGGCTCGTTTGACCAAGAAATTTAAAACTTTTTTTTTTTTTTTTTTTTTTTTTAAAGAATGCTCTGCAGTAAAGCCTGGCTAACTGGAATTCAACTAATTGGAACCCTCATCTGTGTAACACTTTTGCCCCTTTTCTATTTTTAGCCAAAAAAGGGGGGGGCAGGAATAGTGGGGGCAATCAGCTTAGATTTGAAATGCTTTGTTTTCTAGGTCATTTGCAATGGCTCATGTAGTCTCTATTCTACAATCTTTACATATGAAGAAACAAATGAGTGATAAATTAGAGTTGATTTGAAAAGGTCATCAGATATATTATTATTATTATAAGCTTTAACTGTGATTGTACCTATACACAAGGCCACCCAAGCTGAAAACTAACCCAAGAATTTAAGAAGGGTATTTATCAACTACCTTTAAAATGAAATTTTCCTCCAGAGCCTACTATTCACTAGCAAAGCCATAGAATTCTCCAAAATAACAAATTGTCAAAAATTCCAGTTAGTCAAGATTTGACTGTATGCCCTTTTTAGAGCCAACTCGCCCCACATTTCCAGTGAATTCTAACAGATGCATCTCCCAACCCTTCATCAATTGTGTGTGAAGAAAGGGTGGGGGTAGGACTTTTTGAGGTAGATCCTCAGGTTCTGAAGAAACATGACCCCTACTAAATCAGTCTACAAGTGGTCCCTAATTTCTTAATTTGAAAGAGACCCTAATTGAGCTTCAAAGCTTGAGTGAAGTGTCCCCTAATGTGTGTAAATAATGCTTTAAAAACCATGTGTCACAACGCAGTGGCTGGTGGTGCCCTGGACTCTCTGGGGGCTTTGCCCTGTCTCGGCATGTTTCGAAGGACTATGATAGCTGTGCGGCCGTGACGTGAGTCTGTGCAGCGTTGTGGGTGCAGTGGTTTGCCTTCTCTTTGGAAACGCGTATTTCCTTTTCCTTGACTTTGCCAAAGATGGTACCAGACATTTTACATAGCAGAAAACATCACAAAGTCCAGACAGCTTCTTGTAACCAAAAAGAGAGGGAATGGGGAGGTGGGGTGAGCTACAAACTCTCTTAGCTATGAAAACCAGTTTGGTGACCTTGTAATATTTATTAAGTGGGCCCATGGCCCTTTGGAGCAATAAGTTGTGACTTCTCAAAGGGCTGATGGTAAATTGCGGGAGCTGCTGAAATCCCATTGCATATTTCCCAGGTTGTCACCATAGTTTTTTGGTCCTCAATCTGCAAGGATTAAAGCCAGTTTAAGAGATGGCTTTGACCCTATAATGAGAGAAAGAAGTGGGGGAAGAGGAGGAACTCCGTTGGTGTCTTAGAATTAAAAACTGTAAAATGGGACCGAAGGGTGTATGTTGCTCTTGGACTCAATAGCATGTGGCTTCTACTATGCAAAGAACCTAGAAACATCTTTGATCGCCTTAAATTACAACCCCCCCAAAAAACATGCTCTATATGTTTCTATTGGGCACAACAGGTATGCCTGGATTTTAAGTTTTGTTCCAAGGCAGGTCAGTGAAATGTAGCCCATGGAGACCACACTATTTGCAAAGCACCCTCCCCTGTCATAAAAAAAAAAAAATAGTTTAAAGTAGTAATCTGTATGCACACTATCCTGCCCTTTGGACTAACCAAGTAGCTACTGAACTGCGTTTCAATCCTCATGAAGGCTATTACTGTCCTGCGAGTGCCTCTTTTGAGAATGGTCAACTTCTGGAGTAGTTTGGCTTAAATGAGAATGCTTCACTTTCTACTCATGCCTGTAGCTGGTGCATGAAGAAGACACAGGGTGGGGTGGGGTTCCTCTTCGGTGCTAGATGGCTTGTTCTCTCTTCTATTTTCCTGCATTCATTTCACTATGCTTCTTTTACTTTTTGTCTCTGTGGACAAAGGTTTGTACATCGACCCTGGATGTATGGTGACTGGAAGTACCGATATATTATCAATTTCAAACTATTATAGAGGCAACCCAAAGACCATCACCCTTGGCCAACCACCAATCCTTTGTGTCTCTCATGAAACACAGGAAATAGAGTTCATACATTGGGGGAAATATATTAAGAAGAGATCATTGCATGATGGTGTGTTTAAAAACTTGGTCAAGTATGTTTTTCTTCATGACTATGTGTTACTGTGGTGTGATGTACACCCTCTACTTGGCAGTCTTGTTCTGTGTCTGTCTGCCAGTATGTTTTTCTGTGTTTTGTGTCTTGAAATATAACCATGTCACAGAAATAGAACTGAATGTTCTCCAGCTATCTTAAGCCTTATCCTCAAAACAAACTAAAGATTAGTCTTGACCATTGCAATTGGCTCAATTGAAAATAGAATGCTGAATAGCTGAACCATGGTGGTGGCCAACTGTTTGGGTCCGGATTATGATATATCGGTATTCTCTAATGCCTCAATTTAAAACTCATTCGCTTGGTTCGGTTCTTTGCTTAAAGAAGTGATAATTTCTGTGAGCTTGCTGCTCCACCCTGTGCTTTGTCACTCACCCAATTTTTTGCATAGGCTTAAATCCAGTGATGCTTACAAAAAAGCCTGGGGCAATAATCAGGATGGAGTAGTGGCCAGCCAGCCTGCCCGTGTGGTGGATGAACGGGAGCAGATGGCCATCAGTGGTGGCTTCATCCGTAGGTGAGTTTCTGGCAATTTTCTGTTGATGGACAACCAGCACTCAACTATTTCTTCCTCCACAGGAATTTTTGAGATCCCTCATGGGGCTACAACTGGATTCATGAGAGCCTCCCTCATTTGTCTGGGCTACCAACAGAGGCCCTTCTGTCTATCTTCATGAGGTCTTCCAGCAAGGAACTCAGGTTTCTTCATGGTGATGAGAATGTGTCAAGGGGGCAAGATGCAAGACAATGTCCTTCGAAATTATGGCCTGTGTGTTGTTTGCCAGAGTGTCTCTAGGCAAAGCAAATCCCATGACCACATCGAGAATCAGAGTGGCTGTCGAAAGGCACTGCATGACATGGATTTATTTTAGTCAAGCGTATTAAAGAGACTGTTACAGAGGCATGATAAACAGCATGAGTGATGTCACATTTTTAGTCTGGTAGTAGCAGGGAGCTGTTACCACTTGTCCCTCAGGAGATAGGAACAAGAACTGTTACCAGAACCTAACAGTTATGACTACAAAAAGGTATTGTGGTACAGAGATGTAGCCATAGACAGAGTTGGCTAGGATGAGAAAGGGAAACAAATGCCTTAAGCCCTTGCTTCTCATATCCAGTCTCCCTCAGGTTGCTAACCATTGGAAGTCAGAGCAAACAAAGAGCCAGTAGTATAGTAATAAAAGTCAGCTTCTCGGCTTATTGGCTAAAATCCTCCAGCAGCAGCATGAAGCTCGGAGCCTTGTTTCTCTTGGTGTCTCTTGTTGCCCTCAGCCTAGAGGTACAGGAGCTACAGGCTGCAGTGAGACCACTGCAACTTTTAGGCACCTGCGCTGAGCTCTGCAGAGGTGACTGGGACTGTGGACCTGGGGAGCAATGTGTCAGCACTGGGTGCAGCCATGTGTGTACTACAAACTAAGAACAGCTTCTACCTGGAAAAAAAAAAGTGCCTGTTTGGAGCTCTGTGACCAAGAAAGCAGTTGAAAATGGAAGCCATAAATGGAGATTATAAGAAGCACGGTGGGGAGGGTCAAGGAGGTGTTTCTTTTAATAAATCATCATCATAAAAGTCTCTAAAAAAAAAAAAGTCAGCTTCTCAGGGCACAGACAGGGAAGGTCAAAGAACTGATTGGAGTGGGAGGAAGAAAAAACTGGGATCTACATTAACCACTTTTTTTGAGATCTAGAAGCAAAAAACAATTAAATATTTCTTTTTAAAAGCTCAAGTTATATAAGTCAACCAATATCTCAGCTCTGAGGAAACCACCAAGCAGAAAAATGGCCAAATATTTTCTATGAAAAAGGGAAGATTATATTCACTATATTTTGGACACCCTCCACCAATTCATTCCACACTATCACCCCTTTGTCTTAGCCAGAACAGCTTAATTTTGTCAAAGAAAGCATAAACCATATCAATTAAGACTATTTAAACTACTCCATACAGACCAGCAGCTCTCAACCTGTGGGCTGCAACTCCTTTGGCAAGCCTCTATCTCTGAAAATATTTACATTACAATTCATAGCAGCAGCAAAATTACAGTTATGAAAATAAATTCTTGATTGGAGGTCACCACAACATGAGGAATTGTTATTAAAAGGTTGCAGCATCAAGAAAGGTAAAACACACTGATACAGACTGATACCAGGACTCAGCATATGTGCAAATATATATCTTCATGACTATCCCTAAGTCATTGTTGGACAACAAATACTGTTGTGATTCAAAGGCATAGGGTCTAGACATACACCTGTCGCCTGACAAGTGAAATTCTGATTCCTCCTCTATTTGCTTCCAAGAAAACTAGATTATTGATTTTTAAGCCAGGGGTTGCATTAGTATCAACTAGGGGTACAAAAGAAGAAAAGGTAAAAAGCAGGGACAAAAGGAAGGAAGAGAGGTGGGAGGGACCAGTGTCTATACTCCTTCCATAGCAACTGAATCCAAATCTTTTGACACTAGATACACAAAACTATGATTCGAAAGCTTGGGTGATTGCACTGTGCATTAGGCATTGAAATGGTTTTTCCACAGGAACATGTTTATTGTTGATGATCATTTAAATGAAATGTAAACAGTAGGAGGTTCTCTCTTACTTTTTAAATTTCTCTGTCTTGGGCTGATTTATAAGTGGAGCCAGGCATAGTAGCATACAACTGTAGTCCCAGCATTCAGGAAGCCTGAGGGCTCAAAGCCAGCTTGGGCTATATATGGAGACAAGGTTTTAAGCAAAACAAAATGAACAAAAAAAGAAAGTCATAATAGGCCAGTGTACTTTGGGAGTTGCCATGGAAAAGGAAGTTTAAGCCTTCAGTTTTTAGCTCATTTTCTAACTAGTAGGAAAACTCTGTAATAGGTTCTTTCTATTTGCAGTAAGATGCCTGCTGTTTGCAATAGAGCGTCTTCTATTAACCTTCAAGTTGGCCTTTGGAAACGTGGTAAAGTGCTTTGTGAGCCCACTCCTGCCCTCTCATTCCTGCCTATTCAACTGAAACTACCATGTACACATTTTTCTGCTCTGAGAGCACCTGTTCAAATGCCCCTACCGAACTTGTGGCATCAACATGCACATGTATAAGAATCATTCCTTTAAGTCCCTTAGGAGTTCTCAGAGTCAAGAAGCAGACAATTTATCACTGCTCTGCACACCAATGCAGATTCAAAGGTGAAAAAGTGATGAGTACTGAGATTCACTACCTGATTTTCTTCTTTCATCCACAAGTTGAGTCTTGGAAATTTATGTTTTAGGAAAATAATAAATCATACTGTCTATATAATTCTGCCTCTAATCTCTGATCAGGAGTCCCTTGGAATAAGTGATTTTTCTTCAAAAATATAAAATTAGGGGCTGGAGAGTGGCTCAGAGGTTAAGAGCACTGGCTGTTCTTCCAAAGGTCTAGAGTTCAATTCCCAGCAATATATGGTGGCTCCTAACCATCTATAATGAGATCCGGTGCCCTTTTCTGGCATGTATACATAATAAGTACTATATACATGATAAATAAATAAATCTTTAAAAACAGATATGGAATTAAGATATGGGGTGACTCAGGAATGTCTCATTGGATAAATACTTGCCACTCAAGTGAGTTCAGATGCCCAGAAGCCATGTGAATGCCAGATGTGGAAGCGCACATATATCATTCTAATGTACCTGTGGTAGCACAGGAAGTTGGCAAGTGAAATTCTGAAAGCTTATGCATGACACATGGTGATGAGCAAGATACCCTGACAGGCTTGGTAGAGAGCAAGGACTTAGACCTGAGGTTGTCCTCTGAGCTTCACGTGGGTACTACAGCACATACCAGGACTCATACATGAATACACACACACCTTCACACACACAAAACACAAACACACGTTAAATATAAATAAAATAACTGAATTAAACATATATGAAGGAGGAAATTATGTAGTTTTGGAAATCATAAAAATGAATACTTTGATGCACTGAATATGCCTTTATAGGACTATACAGTCAAAGCAGGTGTAGAGGTGCATATGTGCATTGCTAATACTGGGCAGGATGGGGAGGGTGAATCCAGACTTGGCTTCATAGCCAGACCTTATTAGAGAAAGATACAGAGAGAGAGTTCAAAGGTCCAAATACAGTTAACTATATTAATATGCAAGTATTCTCCTATTAAGCTACACCTTGAGCTCGAAACACCAATTTTAAAATTATATTTGAGACAGACAGATGTTAAGTTATGTTGCTATATTGAAAAAGAATAAGATATATACCTAGGTGTCTTAAAACTTTCCACAAGCTCTATTCCTTATTAACAACTGTCTTTTCTTTCTCTGTCTTCCAACCTTGCTCTTTGGCTTCCAGGGTAACAAATGATGCCCGGGAAAATGAAATGGATGAGAACCTGGAGCAGGTGAGCGGCATCATTGGAAACCTCCGTCATATGGCCCTAGACATGGGCAATGAGATCGACACCCAGAATCGCCAGATTGACAGGATCATGGAGAAGGTGAGCCCACAGCTCTTGGGAAGTCACTGATTGCCATTAGGAAGGAGACAGTGTACCCAGGCACATTAGTTGCTGGATATTTTATCCTTAATATTCTAAGACAAAAACATGGGATTCACAACTGAACTGGAATGAATGATTAGAATGTAGCTTGGGTTTTGATTTATTGTGGGTACTGGGTATTGAGCATAGGGCCTTGGGAATGCTAAAAGAGCATTCCACCAATGAGCCATACCCCTAGCCCCATACTATACAATTGAATGCAGTCAGTATGTCTCTAAATCTCTTCCATGTTAGGCATGTGCTAAGCACTTAGAACACATGGAAATGAGACGAATCATATTCTTACTGCCAAGAAATTCATATCAGGACACTAAAACCATGAACTATTCATCATAAAAATCAGACGATCCTTTCCATGCATTCCTCTCTTCTACAATAGCATGCTGAATATAAATTGTTCTCTTTTTAACTGTTTAAATAGCAAGAGGGAGAGATAGGTGCATTAAGAGTTTAACAATGATTTTATGTGTGTAATTTATGTCTGGCTAGTCTTATGCTATGTGCTTATTCACTTTGAGACACTGTAATTCTTAACCTGAGTTCTTGAATCTCTTTATAATATCTTTTCCTTTTCCAAGAGCAGAGTGGGTTAATTTTCAAGACCCTTTAAATTGCAAACTAAGTAGTAGTTTCTTGATCCTCAAGCATCCTTCAGTGCCGTGAAAGGATAAATAGCCAGTATTGTGTCATATGTGCTCCAGATAAACAATATACAACCACATAATATTTTGCCTGATTGACCTACACAAATGTCAGAGCTGGCTGGTGAAATACTTGTACTTTGCTTATGTTTGCAAGTTACAACATGCTTGAAATGGCTAAGCAGCTTTTGCTAAGATAAAGCTTTTAATGCTGTGACAGCCAACAGATTTTGGAATCATTTTGCAAGGTACAAAAGTGCTGGAGCCAACTCAGCCTGACCTAAGCCATTATAGCCCCAGAAGAAAAACAAACAGAGAAATAATTGCTGAACTGTCTTCCAGAAGGAAAACAATCTTAGAAAACAGGAAGTGCTTATTTACTGTCCGTAGATCAAACTGACTCAGAAACGAGCAGGTAACTCAACAAAGCCCAAACAAGGTCCCAGAGAAGAAATATTTTGCTAACATAAAGGGGTCAAAACTTTGAGTTACAGGAACTTGGAAAAAGAAATATTTGTTTCTGAAAGGGCAGCAGAGTCCATATTCTGATGCCATTGTAGTTCTCTAGTATGGTGAGAACCTTCTGTATTAAGTGCCACCAATAAAGGTGGGGTTTTTTTTCTTTTCTTTTTTTTTTTATGAGCATTAGTGTGAAGGTGTCAGATCCCTTAGAATTGAGAGATAGACAGTTGTGATCTGCCATGTGGGTTCTGGGAATTTAACCCAGGTCCTTTGGAAGAACAGACAGTGCTCTTAACCACTGAGCCATCTCTCCAGCCCCCACCAATAAAGGTGTACACAGGGATAAAGAGTTAAGTTTGTAAAGCCAGGCATATTTATGGGAAAGAGCTGTTCTGGCTTGCACCAACCATAGACTCCTTAGTTACTGAGGCAAAGAGAGAGTTTATAATTGCCTTTCAACAATTAGCATAGCGTGGCCAACGTTTGAAATAGAAGTTATCCCACCCGCACTTCCAAAATCACAATCTGAATGCGATTTAAACACAGACCATTTGAGTGAAGGCGGTCATGCTATTGAGCTACACTGTTAGCAGACTCCCTTTTCTCAAGCTCTTTTCTGAAGCTCTGGTCTCTGATAACTATATTCCAGAGTCTCTGCATGTGTAGGATTGAATTAGAACCACACAGTAGGCAAAGCAAAGAGAGTTTTCTTCTCTTCCTGGTCCCATCAGCGATCTTCACCCTACTTCCCCCGTCATGATCTTTTCTCATCACCATTTGGGTTGATAGTGAATTCTCAGGAGTTCAAACAATAAGACCTTTGACATATTCTTGCAGATTTTAAAGAGATTGCTTTGTGTTTTTTTTTGCTTATGGGCATTTATACATATAATCTTTCAAAGTTACATGCACATAGTTCTTCCAGAAAACTGGAAGTTAGAAGTATGTTTTCATCCCAAGCTTTATGGAAACTGGTGCTAAAGAAGCAAACTTCAAAGTAAAGCTGGCAGAAGTAGGCATGTTGAGATATAGCCAGGTAGTCCTTGGGGTCTTCCCCCAGTGGGAACATAGAGCCTGAAATCTAAGGTCATGGCTCTAAAAGGGATCTGCTGTTTGCCAGCTCTATGATCTGGGAGGTGAGGGAACAGTTCAACGCTGGAATCTGAATGTGCTAAAGTATGGCATAGTTAGCACACAGTTCTCAATATCTGATCTGAGTCAGCACTCCACCTGCCTCAGAGTTGAGGGATCAGAAAGAGGGACTCAGTAGCTCCTTCTAACACTGTCTGGGCTCTCTAGTGGACACTGTAATCTTTTCACACAGGGAAATCATTTGGCACATGTTGAAAGTGTCACCAAGCTTAGGTTTCTTTAAAATCAAACAGGAAGACTGGGATGGGGTAGCCTCCATATAAGAAAAAAAAATCCTCAAAGATAAACACAGACAGATGCATTTTCCAAGGGACATACCTGAAGGGAGATTCTGTCAGGTCTGGTTTTGTTTTTGTTTTCTAAAAGGTGCTATTTCTTTTTCATAACATAAAAAGTATGTGGTACTTCTGAAAAGTGAATGTGCTTCAGAGAAGTTAAGAGGATTCGCAGTCACCCACTGGACAAAGGTGTTCCAGCTCCATCTTGGCCTTTGAGAATATACCAAGATTTGCCTCTGTTCTACTTAAATAACCCCACACTGCCTTGGGAAGGCCAGGCAGTGCATTCATAAACAAGAGAGTCTACATTTGTTTTCAGAAATGACATTTATTTTTAAAATGGATTATTTTCTTACTTTGTGTCTCTGAGCTCAGTCTGGAAATGGCACAATTTAGTCTATAGAAACATTTCAAATTTGTCTGAGCTAGTAATTTTTCTTTGCACCAAAGTATGATTATTCATGATACAGTTTGTAGGTACAGAAGAAGGACTTGGGAAACAAATAAAATTGGAGGGGTTTATCCATTTTCCAAATGAGGAGCCTGGGGATCAAAAATAACTGTCAGAATAATCAGGACAAATCAATGCTCTCTCTTACGATGTAAACATTCATTTTAAAGCCAACTCTTGATTAATCAAAGAGATGATAGAGAACCATGGTCAGATAATTCAGTTGTGAATAATGTAGAAATAAGTTCAGCATTCCAAATGTCTGTTTGAATGTGGATGACTCCACTGTCCTAGAAATTCACAAATTTAAACTGAACATAGAAGACCCTACCCAGTAGAGATTGTAATGTGAGGGCATAGGTGCATAGCTTGTGATCAGTAAGTGACAACAGGTCATTAGAAAAACAACTCTGCTTCCCTGGGGGCTTTCTGCATGCCAGGCTGTAGAGTTACACTTGTGATGGAAAGAGCAATTGCCTCTTCTTGCTGACTTCAGTTTTTTCATGGTCAGTTAATTTCCTGGGGCTTAAAGATTGAGCCTGTGAGTGTCTTTCCAGCATAGAAAGATAAATTATATAACTCTGTCCTCAAAAACACAGATGCTATCCAATGAGGGAAACAGTTGAAAACCCAAGTCAAGTTGCTGTGACCTTGTCCATGTAAGGCCATAGCAATGATCCTGGGAGAAAGAGTGATAATTCTGAATGGGGAAGTTTCAAGGTGGTTTCACAGAAGAACTTGAGTGGACCCTGAGGGAAAATGGCACTTTAAGGGGTAAACTAAGACCTCTCTTTTTTCCTCTTTTTTAGGCTGATTCCAACAAAACCAGAATCGATGAAGCCAACCAACGTGCAACAAAGATGCTGGGAAGTGGTTAAATTTGCTCTCCTGCTGCGCTCTCCTCCGAATGTTGTTGGACAAGAGAGCTCCTTCCTGCTTTTCTCATGGTATTACCTAGTAGGTCTTGCACACACACATGTACACGCACACGCACACATCTGCACAGTCAGTTGCCCCCCATTGTAAATGTCCCGTGTGGTCTGTCAGCTTCCCAATGATACTGTGTGTCTTTTGTTCTCTCTGGCTCTCTTTCTTTCCAAGAGTTGTACATAGTGATCATCTGATGGCTCTAATTCCCAACCTAAGATGTCTTAGGTCTCATTTTTTTCTTTTCTCAGTGACGTTTGCTGAATGACAACAATTTAGGAATGCTCAGTGTGCTGTTGATTCTCTCAATACACAGTATTGTTCTTGTAAAACTGTGACATTCCACAGAGCCACTGCCACAGTCCTTTCTTCGGTGTCAGGCTCTGAGTCTCTCCAAACGTGCTGTCTTTAGCTCCTCATGGATATTATCTGTCTTTATGATTTCATGATTAGACAATGTGAAATTACATAACAGACATTGCACTAAAAGTGATGTGATTTATGCATGAGAACTAAATAGATTTTTAGATTCCTACTTAAACAAAAAAAATTTCCATGACAGTAGCATACTGACAAGGAAACACACACAACAGCAACCATAAAAAGCAACGACTGACTGCGCATGCTCAGTATTGGGGCCCTGTCAAGATTAAGTCGTGCCAGCAAAACCTGCGGCTGTGTCCCCTTATTTCTGTCAACATACAGACTTACTGATCATAATCGTCCCTTTTCCTTTCTCTCTCTCATACACACACACACACACACACACACACATACATACACACACACACACACTCACACACACACACACACACACACACACACACACACACACACACAAAATGAATTTGAAATACCATTAATCATTTCTAGCAAAATATATGTTTGGCTGAAACTATGTGAAATGGATGTACTATAGGGTTTGTTAGCTGCTTTTGCAAGCCATGTTTTGGAGACAACACTGTTGCCGTGGAAGGTGAGAAGATGCAGATCTTCAAAGTCTGACTCTTGTTGATCACCATTTCCCTGTGGTTTGTCATCAGTATGGTTCTTTGTTGCTTAATCTAGAGCTATGCATACCAAATTGCTGAGATGTTTAGTAGCTGATAAAGAAACCTTTAAAAATTATATAAATGAATGAAATATAGATTAACTGTGAGATAATATCATTATAGCATGTATATTAAATCTGTTCTGTCTCCTCTGTTGGTTTGTGAAGTGATTGACATTTTTGTAGCTAGTTCAAAATTATTAAAAATTATAGAATCCACCTACTGGCTCCCATCTGATGATATGCTCACAATGGCAACTGAAGTCTGCACATTCTATTCAGTTGCTCCTAAGAAGCTGGTTGTAGATACTGGGTTGAAAACCAAAGAAAGATGTTCCATTTCAACACAGTTCCAATTACAACAGACACCTTGGCTTGGTTCTTATAACCTGTTGTGTGTGAATTCAGTGTTAGCCATGAGACACATAGTTTTCCAGCATTCATAGAAAAAAAATTCCTAGGGGACAAAAGTCTAAGGTACTCTAGTCTTGGCTCTGTGTAAACTTGGGTATTCAAAATATTGGTAACTCTTATTTCTTTCCCCTTCCCCAGCATTGCCATCAACCAATTTTCACCCCTTCATCATTATAACACCACTATCCACATTTTTCTTCATTCACCCATTTACCTAAAAGTGTAGTGCAATGGTAGAACACATAAATGACATGCACAAAGCCCAGGGTTTTGTTATGGTTCCAGGAGAAGGTATTGAATTATGCAATGTAATCATTTTGTACATTCACAATGATGGAGAATCTGGTCTTAGAACATCTTTATCACCCCCCCAATCCCACATCTATTAGTGGTAACTTCTTCCAACTTAAAACAACTACTAGTTTAATTTGCCAGCTCTTTCTATTGTCTGCTATGAACATTCTATATAAGGAACATTAGAGTGGGCTCCTGTGACTGGTTTCTTTCACTTTGCATGATGTTTTCATGGTTTGTCAGTATTGTAGCATATCTCAGTATTCTATTCCTTTCTGTGATCAAATAATATTTCATTATGTGTATATATACTTTATTCAACTGTGCCTCAGTTCATGAACATATATAGTTATAGCCATATCTCCTTTGGCCTATTATGGCTAATTCTGCTTTGAACGTTTGTAGACAAATTCTTGTGAGAGAAGCTGTCCTTAATTCTGTTATAACCACACATTTGCCAGTCATTGCCACCTCTACCTCAGCACCACCACCTTACCTAACACTATTTTTACTGTTCCTAGTGCCTGTATCATTTCATGCTCTTAAATTGGCATATCTACCCTCTCCACCTTCATCATCATCTTTAAACATAACTTGTGTGTGCACGTGTGTACGTGTGTTATACGCACATCATAATCACCTCCATTACCACTGTCCTTGTCACCACAATGGCTACCACTGCCTGTACCACTATACCATCTCTTCACCATCTCCTAATATGTCCTCCACCATCGCTATTTCTCTCCATAACCTATAGTAGTAACGCAAGTACATTTATCCTGGTTGGCGGTGGTAACTGGATAATTTTACTCATGAGTCTCTCCCAAGGTTTAATAAGGGCAATAAAGAAGCAAGAAGAGCAATGATAAGTTTGTCCTTTTCAGAAAGTATTTGCAGGATTTTACACTCTTTCAAAGGAGCAATAGCAAGAGTGCATCTATTTCTTAAAATCGTGGTAGTAGAGAGGGTGCTAAAAGACAAAAAAGGTGATTATGTTCTGCATATGTCAGAACTGACAGGGGGGTCAATATTCAGGCTGTGCAGAATGTTCCAAGCTCCATCTGTTCTCAGCCAGAGTGAGTGGGTTTTCACAGGAAAAATCAGTGCAGGCAGTTTGCTTTAAGACTACCACGTAATTCTCTGGGCAGCATATGTGCTTTGACAATTGTGTTTGTCCAAGCTTGGCTCTCACACAGTCAGCTACTTCTTGCTAACGTAGAATGGATGCTTCAGGGATGACTCTTCTCCAGATAATATAGCAACCCAAGAAATGCATTAAGAATATAACTATAGAATGCTGCAAAGACTAAATATTCTCCTTCCTCCACTTAGGCACTTGTAGTTTAAAAAAAAATGAGAGAGAGAGAGAATCCCAACCATTATATTTTACCAGTAAAGACTCAGAAGGCAGATGCTGAGAGAGGCAGAAAAAGCACTCAGCTGACCTACCTTCTCAGCTCGGGTCTGGATGGAAAAAACCCAAAAGGTTCACTAGCTCAACTGACTAGCCCAGGAGGAAAAGGCCAAAAAAGCCAAGGACAAAGATTTGCTAGCTCAAAGCCTCAAAAGCCATAGAGCTGAGGAGCTGAAGCCTAAGCTAAAGCCAGAGTTTAAGCTAAAAGCCTTTTCTTCTCCACCTGTCTTAAATACACCCTCAACTCAAAGTCCTTCCTACTCTTTAATCCCTGTCAACTGGTTTCTTGACCTATGGTTAACTTTATTAAATTCTGTGTACAGAAAGCTCTTGGATTAAAGGTGTGTGCTAGGGCTAGGTAAACCACATCATAATTACCTGTTTACAATAAAAACTTCTTGGATTGAAGGTATGTGATAGGGTTCAACCACACCAAGCAAGAAACAGGGTTTTACAGTTCATGATTTTGGGATTTACAATGGGATTAAATATCCCGCAACAGGCTCTGGCAAAGGACCCTCCTCCATAAGATCAGAGGTTGCCCCTGTGTCTTCTTAGCAGGAGGCTCTCTTTTTATCTCCTGCCCATTTTTGTTTGTCATTCCTCCTTTAAACATTTATTTATTTTATGTGAACATGTGTTTTGTCTGCATGAATGTCTACACATCATGTACATGGGTGGTACTCACATAGGGCAGAAGAGGGTACAGGATCCCCTGAGACTAGAGATATAGATATAGATGATAGAGATAGAGATAGAGATAGAGATAGAGATAGAGATAGAGATAGAGATAGAGATAGATATAGATATAGATATAGATATAGATATAGATATAGATATAGATATAGATATAGATATAGATATAGATATAGATATAGATATAGATGGTTGTGATTCCCAGTTGGGAATTGAACCTAGATTCTGTGGAAGAACAGCCAGTGTTCTTAACCACTGAATCATCTCTTTTTCTGAGTCATCTTTTTTCTCTATCTCTTTTATATCCAATAAAATGCATAATCTGTGAGCATCAACCTTTTGCCTCCCAGACTGCCCCAGTAGGATCCATCTCCAGTTGCTCTTGTGGTAACTCACCTGATGTGAATCACTTCCTTAGCAGCTGCCCTTGCTTCTCGTCTCCTGGCCATATTTTTTTTCTTTTATCCCCCTTTTATTCAAAAATCTGCTTTAACTAGATTTCCCCAGTTCTGTGTCATTGATTCATTAGCAAGGTGATGCTTGTGCTGATGGGAGAAGAGAAGGAATGCATATTCTGTGACCATTAAGCACAGGACAGGCTCTGTGTTTAGTGCTTTGTCTGCGTTGACTCATTAAACTCTATCAAAACTGCAAACTTGGGATTATTAGTCCCCTTTTGCTAATGAAAACATTATCTATCTGAGCAAGATATCTCAGCTAGTAAATGATAAGGTATGATTCAAGCAAGATGTACATAACTCTAGAAGCATTTGGAAACACATTTTGGAGTTATACCTTTGTTACTTCAGCAAGCCAGGAAATTCCAAGAGACACTGGGCTCCTTGAGGATCAAGAAAGACAGAATGGTGGGTTCTCAGGAGGTCCTGGAGAGCCTACCTTTCATTCACCTGCAGTAAAAAAAAACAAACAAACTAAGCTTTATTTTGTATTTGTTTATTTTCATCCCTCCCAGTCCCTCCCAGTCCACTCCTCCTGTGTTTCTGTTCAGAAAGAGGCAGGCCTCCCGTGGATATAAACCAGCATGGCATACTGAGTTGCAGTAAGACCAAGCACATCCTCTCACACTAAGGCTAGACAAGCCAACCCAGTAAGAGGAAAGGGTCCCCAAGTCAGGCAACAAAGTTAGAGGCAGCTCCTGCTCCCACTGTTAGGAGTCTCATAAGAAAACCAAGCTACACAACTGTAACATGTGCAAAGGGCCTGGGACAGGCCCACGCCGGCTCCCTGGTTAGCAGTTCAGTCTCTGTGAGCCCCTGTGAGCCCAGATTAGTTGATTCTGTGGAAAAACACTGAGCTTTATTACGATCCAGGTCCTGTTGCAAATATTGTGAATATAACAATTAGGGAAACAAAAACTTAGGAAATTTTATTTATATCCATTGAAGTAGTGTCATGCCTTCAGATGGAGCCTGGAAGAAAAAATGGGTGGGGTGGATGAAGACACAGATTCTCTCTCATGATGGCTTCTACGTTACCTCCCAGAATTCTAGATCCATGTCTGGTTGTTCATGTGGTAGCTTACATGATTGATCCCTTTCTTTACTGGCTGCCTTTTCTTTGTCTTTTTCCCACACATCTACTCAAATAAACTGAGGTTCTAAACCTGTGTGTGGGCATCCTGGTCTATGGGAGTCCAGCTAAGAAAACTTTCTGAGATGTGTGCCATTCCCAAGCATTCCCCATGAACACTGCCTTGGAGAGACGTGCTACCTCCCACCTACTGTATAGTCTCTGAGTCCCTCTTTTTTTCAGTGAAATGTGCACTTAGCATTTAAACCCTGGTTTTCCTCCATGAAGAGCAAGGCAGCATATGTCAAGCTGTAAGTTTGCTGTAGGGCATTGAGTTCTTGAGGGAATTCCAGTCTTACCTACCTCCACCACCATGCATCACTGTATCTTCCTACAAACCAAAAACTAAATATTTGCCAAAGGCATTATGCTC